TTCCCGACTAACAAAAAACAAGCCAAAAACCCAGTTTAGTAGTACCAATTTTATCTAGAACCCCAACTCGCTGACCCGCGACCAGGTGAACGCGCTGAACTGGATGCTGGACGAGTCGTTGTACGTGCTGAATGGGTCGATTGAGTGGAGCTGTTTGGATGATAGCTCCTATATCCTCCCTGGCTTTCCTCAGGCCCTCTCAGGCTTTCTCGCGGCTCGTTCTTTTTCTCTCTGGCTCTCTGGGGCTCCTCTCGCACTTTCTCTCCCTTGCTCCTTCTCTCTCGTTTTGTTTCTCTACCAGCCTCTATCTTTTTTTTTCTACCTATTGGGCTCATCCCAGTAACGTGGACCATGTAAGGAATCGTGGACCATGAATAAAATCGTGGACTGAGCACCGGAATCGTGGACTTTGAAAAAATCGGGGACCTTAAAAAAATCGTGGACCGGTGGTCAGAATCGTGGACTCTCTTTGCAAATGGGGGACCACTGCCTTTCTGAGCTGAGTTATGGTCCACGATTTCGAACATCCGGCAAGGGTTAATTAGCCCGAAAAAACTGTGTTTAGCTTCCACAGGGCGGTACAAGGTTTGTTTTTCACACCATTTTTTTTTGCGGCATTTCACATTGTAGCAATTAGCAGAGGAATTACCTACATAATGTTGACTTACACAATGCCGGATTTTCAGAATTCGATTTGAATATCGCCGATTTTCAGAATGCCGATTTTACACAATGCCGATCCTTAGAATATCGACTTCTTATAATGCCGATTCTGATAATTCCGGATTTTGCGTCTGTTTGCAGGGCGCTAAACGTTTGTCCTCCCGATGAATCCTAGGATTTGGTATTCCATTTTTTCCGAAAAACCTATGCTTTCGATATTGACGCGCCCCCGATACTTTTTGAAATAGCGAAACCCGGATTTTGCTGGGGAATTACCCTGAATCAAGAACCTCGAAGCCGTCGTTAAAAATTCAGTCTTCGTTACCTGCCAGGGGAGATTATTTTTATGAGAATTTTGTAAGATTTTTGTATAGAAAATAAGGTTAGAGACTTTTTAGAACCCCCCGGAAATCGATTACGAAAAACTAGGATTCGGCGAAACAAAAATGCAATGAAAAATGACTCGGCATAAGGACGCAAACCGGGCATTCTGGAAATCGGCATTGTGTGTAAATCGACATTATGTAGGTAATTCCTCCACTAAATCTATGGTCGAACCCCCAACATGATAAGCCCATGTGAAATGCCGCAAAAAAAATGGTGTGAAAAACAAACATGGCCGCCCTGTGGAAGCTAAACACAGTTTTTCCGAACAATCTAGCCTTTTTCGGATAAATAGAATCGTGGACCACAACTCAGCTCAGGACGGAATTTATGGTCCACGATTTTGAACGCCGCCAAATTTTGCCCCCAATAGCCAAATCTATGGTCCCCGATTTTCACCAAGGGTCCACGATTCTGACTACCGGTCCACGATTTTTTTTAAGGTCCCTGATTTTTTTTAAAGTCCACGGATTTCGGCCATGGTCCACGTTTTTTTTTTATGGTCCACGATTCCCTTACATGGTCCGACGTTACTGGGATAGAGCCACCCATTGCTCTCACATTCTCTATCTCCTCGTCTGAAACACTAGGGGAGGGGCGAGAGAGAGAGAGAGAGTGAGATGCGAACAAGCTCGCGTCAATCCTTAAAACTTCGCAAATTCCAGCTCGTCCAAAATATCGATGAACCGCAGCGCAAACTCGTGGACATTCGGCAACAGCGAGGAATTTCTGCAGCCCAGAAGGTCACCAAATAGGCAACCGCCCGTCTGTGCCGTTTATGCGAGGACCCTGGAAAAGTGAGTTGGTTTGCGCTTTGGATTAGGTTTTGTAAAAGTGAGAAATATTTGCCCACCCACCGCAGCCATAACAAAACGGGGGAAAACGGAGAGAAATGGGGATTTGAGTCGTCATAAGGTGCTGTGCTGGAATTTTCCAGAATTTCTCTGGTATTTTGTAATTTTGCGTCAGAATTGGTATTTATTCTGAGTTGCTGCGCGAGGGACGCGAGAGATGGAGTTTTTTCGCTCAATACATCTCTTGCACTGTTCCTCGCGCGCCCTCTCTCGCTTCCCTCTCTCTCTCGCTCACCTCGCACTCTGTAATGGCGCAATTTCTGTAGTTTTCAAGTGTTTTATCCGAAACATGGTTCCGCAAGGTTCTCTGCTAGCCGGCCCTCAAAAATTTTACAAAAAAATCTGACTATTTTGTAGTCCATTCTTGGGGAGGTTCCTCCGTCTTAACTTTTTTCAAAATTGAATTTCTAAGTTTTCAGCTCGTCCTGACACTCATCCCAATCCCGTGATCAAAAGCACACAAAAATTATTCCAGCGGAGCCATCACACTGGTGACATTTCCAGGGGGTGAATCACCAGAATCTGGCCAGTTCAGAGCTGTCCCCAGGACGAGGGGGCGCACCACGTAGTCCGCCGAATCAGACCTCATAAACCCAAGGAGGAATAGGCTTATAAGCCCCCATAGAAAATCGAGTTCAGAACAAACGCCAGATCATAAGCCAAAGGGTTCATTCACTGATCTGGCGCCGTTTTTCCTGATTAGGTTTTATTTCCTGATTTTTCGGTTTCCTAGAGCGTCGTTTTGACCTTCCTAATAGCCCCAGGAATCGCTAGAATTAACCCTTGTCGCCACTAGGTCTTGACAAATACGTTAAATCGCTAGATACTTTTCTCTGGCTTTTTCTCTCATCTCTCACTATCTCTTCTCATTATCTCTCTCACTCTCTCTTGCTCTTTCTCTCTCGCCGGCCCTCTGCACTCTGACTACCTTTCATCAGAAATCCGCAATAGTCTTTGTCAGTTAGCCTGCCCGAATTAATCCCCTGAAATAAATGCGATAAAAACAAACGCGTCATTTGGCGTCTTGCGTAGCTGTCGGGGAGTGCCGACTCGGGATCTACTCGGAGAGAGGGTAGATTCTGGCATTTTCTAGTCACTTTAAAGCCTTTTTCAACCCTTCGGGAACGACGTCATCTAATTTTTGTGGCATTTCCGGCCGGACCTGAATTTGTTGTCACAATCCCCTTAAAACTGCCTCAAAAAACACCAATAAATTGTTATAGCATTTGCTCTACTCTTTGATCGTAAACGCCTCCGCTGCTTGGAGGATCAGGCGCTAATATTCGCTATCACTCTCTCTCTCTCTCTCTCGCCTCAAATAAACAGTTTTTGGCCTCGTGACAGCCGCCATAATAATATGCCGTTAAGCTTTGATAAGGCGCCTGCCAATTTGGGGGTGTACACTGGAATTTGCCGGAAAAAGCGGCGGCGGAAAATGGAAATATATATAGCCGGGGTGGCGGCTGCATCCTGGCCAGCCCTGATAAGCCCGAAAATGGGCCGGTCTCTTCCGAATTTTGCATAAATCGGGATCGGGGGCTGATAGCGTCCTCTTGTCTCCTAGGGTCTTTGCCAAGGGTTACACTTTTCTGGTTCTTTTGCATTATCGGGGGCAACCAACTCTTTCTGTTACTAGTTCTAAACGTAAAACGTTACAATTTTTAGCAAAAATAGCAAATACCTACTACCAAAAAGACCATTTTTGGATCAAATTCTGATTTTTATATTATTAGAGTTTTGAGATGGCCTTTCTAATTGAATAATGTATATTTTTAATGCCATTAATCCATTTCATTTACTTATCCCCATTTTCATCAAAAACGACTTTCTAAAAAATCCAAAATAATTTCAAAAAATCCATTGACGATGCTTTCCTTGCAATTTTCATCATTCTGATTCCATTGGTGTTGTCTATTTCTCCCCCTTTTTTGCTGTTTCGAGCGGGGTTGCCTTTGGGCACTTCCGGTGGTGGTGTGCATCCATCGAAATGGCCGGATTCGACCTCGCCGCCCAGCGAACAACAATATCCTTGACCGACGGACACCGCTTTCTCTCTCCTCCCTCTCTCTCGCTCTCTCTCCCCTCTCTTCCCCATTTCCGGTCCGTCGATTGGACCCTTATTTGAACTCTGTTTCCCACATCAAGGTTACGGTAGTATCCGGGGCCGTTCCGATACTTTCCTATCCACGTCATTCTTGCACTAGACGGGTTTTAGATCGTGCTTGTTTGACCTCCTTATCTGCCTTTTTAAAAGCTATAAATATCCGATTTGTTTTTGCGTTCTCCCATTCCATTCAGCCTGAAACTGACGATACTCTTTAGCTCAAAAATCAAACTAGGCTACTGCGAAATGAAAAATCTCACCCGCTCGATTCTTTTCGGCAACTTCCTATTGGGAAACGGAGATGGTTAGTTGGTATTTTTGAGGAAACAGAAGCTAGAAAAGCCCATGGAAAGCCGGAGTTTTTAAAATCTATTTTTAAGGGGAGGGGTTGAAATTAAAAACGGTAGTTTTACGCCAGTACGCTAAAAGTAAAGCTTTTATCGTACTAAATACTACTTTTACGTTGCGTACACCGATAAACATGCCCCATTTTTTCTTTGAACGTACCGTGCAATGGATTCAACCTTAGAAAAGCCGAAGAACCCCTTTAATTACCTACAATATGGATAAAATTCCGGAGGAACTAAGTGTACGTAGTGTCAATTAAATAGAAGACAATCAGATTATCTCTTACTGTCAAAGCCCGCCTTAAAATAATTTTTTCAGTGCCGCCGTCTCGCAACCATCCACCTCGGAACGAGAGCTGATCGACGAAGTAGCGCATTTGGATCGAGATTTGGCTGATTATTCGTTGTCTACAATGGAGGGACTATTATTCGGATACTCGACCGCTTATTAAAGGTGAGTTTCTCTCTCTCTCTCTCTCTCTCTCTCTCTCTCTCTCTCTCTCTCTCCGTCTCTCTCTCTTACCGGCTTTCATACAGCGCAACTTTTAGAATCTTCCCACTCGAACCACAGTACACTCGAGACGAAAAGGAGAAGTGGAAGTGAGGTGGAGGACATAGCTGCTCCTCCTCCCACCTACCGTAAGATTGATGAGTGATGATGAGGTTGCAAGATGGCATGAGAAGGAGAATCGGCTGCATAGTAAGGTAAGGAAATGAGGGAGAGAGAGACCGAGAGAGGGAGAGAGGGTGATAGAGAGAGAAAGAATGAGAGAGAGAGCGTGATAGAGAGACAATGAGATAGAGATAGAGAAAGAGGGAGAGAGAGAGAGAGAGAGAGAGAGAGAGAGAGAGAGAGATAGAGAGGGAAAGGGAGAGAGATTAGTGTGCGATCTTGTGCCAAAACATTCAATTCTCCGACTTCCGTGCCAAACCATAATTCACACCATCATAATCCCCTAATCGCCCACTAATTTATCAGCGTTCAAATCCGGAAAGTCGCCAGATTGACGCAAGCAAAATCGCACCCATTTCCAGGTTGATAAGAAGCTCGACGCGGCGGCGAGACGGCCAAGCCCAACGCAGAACGAGCAGGGAAAGAATGGGTAGGTTAAAAACGGGGTAAAATAATTAGAAATTGAAATGAAAAATAGAATAAATTAGAGAAAGGGAGTTCATAATCGTCAAAAACAGAAATGGTTTTAGCGACGAGCCGAGGAATTACCTGGAATGGACCTCGCAGGCCCAGGAAGCCTACAAGTTTCTTGTCGAGTGTGGCGATAATTTGCAGAAGGACGTCGTAAAGGGTAAGATACCGGAATGTTTTTGTTATTTTGTCTTTTAGCACTAAGGAGTACAATAAAATATTCTGGTTAATTTTAATAGGTTTTTAGTATGCCTTCCCAGCTTTTAATGGCGCTTGGAAGTAAAAACACGATTTCAACCAGAAAGCCGACAGTTAAAATGCCGAAAGTCCAAGCTATCGGCATTTTGCTGTCGGCATTTTTAGCTGTCGGGCTTTTTTCTGTTTTCCCGTAGAAACACCAGCTATTTTTGGTAAAATTATGCCTACGAAAAATTCTTACCCTTAGACTGTTGTGATAAGGTAACCGCAACCCGAAATTCGGTTTTCTTACTGTTCAAGTTCTTAAGAGGCATGGAAAAACTTCATTTGAACACTGAAATCATTACATTCAACATATCGATCTTCTAATTTTAGCAGCCAGTATCTCGCCACGTAGCCCCTCCTCGGCCCCGACGAGTACGAGATGCTCCTCTGACGATAAGCCCATTGCGAAAATTAATGCCACCCGGATATCGGCTGATGCGGCGTCAGCTCATGTCAGGGCAACGATACCGGTATGTTTTCAGCATTTTTCGGGGTTTTAAAGGTGCCAGACAGCTTGAAAATCTATCCTGCTGTCGACTAAGTCTCGACTAGGTCCTATTAAAAGCGTCATTTGGGGTGTAGCGTAGCTGTCGAGACCTAGCGGAGGCGGGGGTCGACTCTCACGCTTCATGGGCCCTTTAAAACCGCTAAACGGTCGACGACGAAAACCAATTAATTTTTTCTTTTCCAGAGCAACAAGATGGGCTCTGATTTCGTGGCTCGGCCGGCGCTGCCACCAAAATCGTATGTCAACACGGAAAGCATGAAGGTAGAGCAAAAACCGCTGTAATTTTTTGATCTCAAAATTTTTAGCCACCAGAGCTTCCGCCCAAGAAGACGAGTCGCGTCGCCCCGGACGCTGGTTACGATAATATCAATGGAATTGGTGGGTTTAATGGCGTTTTTGTCATTCTATGTTTTAGTGTGGGCTATTTTATGTTCTATTTTAATACAAATATAATATCATTTTTAAGCAAATTAAACTATTTTTGAAAAATAGTTAGTCGTTTTGGTCAAATTTTGCTAAGTTTTTCGTTTTAAAAATCGCTACCGTTATTTGAAATGTATGAATTGCGTTTAAGTTATTAAAAACACCAACTCCCAATGTTTAAATATTTTAAATTTCTAGGTAATTTTTTAACAAAAAATTGTTGCATTCAAAGAATCGTAAATTCCTTTTTAGCCGAGGTTAACTTTTATAATGCTTTATAATTCATTAAGTGTTCTAAACTAACAGGCTCAAAAACTACAAAAATTTATTAAACATCTTTCAGCAAATTCCAAACCCTGCTCAAACTCCAAGCTACCTCCCCCGGTTCCGCCAAAGCCCAAAACACGGTAAGAATTTATATAAATCAGTATTCTATTTATTTTTGTAGTATCGTGGCCCGGTATATTACGTAAATAATACCGTAAGTGTACACATTCGTCAAGCCTGCCATTAATGCACGCTTTACCCAAGAATTTCCCCACTGAACTATTGCTACTCAAAATTTTGAGAATTAATACTAACTTTTCCACCTTGTAATATTAGATTTTTCTTGGCTAACAATATGTAAATTTTCAGGACGATCCAACCGACGATGGTGCCTGCCGAGAAAACACCGGAATTTTCCGCTAATTCCGCGAGGCGCCATATTTACGGAGGAGGTGTTGAAGTTCTAGATTTTTAGTTAGCCTCTCTCTCTCTCTCTCTCTCTCTCTCTCTCTCTCTCCGTCTTTCTCTTTCTCTCTTCCTCAAAATCCCTGCTCATGCGCCCCTTTTAGCAGTCATACTGTACAATTTTAGTCTGTGTATTTTTCTATTTCTTATTTTCTTATTTTTCATGATGAATTTAGAAATACGGGTTTACAATTATTTTTTTATTGTTATTTCCCTTTTTGCCGGTGTGATTTTCTGAACCCTTCTACGCCCACTTTTGTAGCTAAAATGCAACCAAAATCGTGTCGATCCATTGGCTCAATTCATTATCATTTTTTATTTGACCTATTTTGGACGTTGAAAACTCGATTTTGTGATATGGGTGAGTCCAGTAATAAATGTTTACGTATTCTTTGCTAAAGAAAGGAAACACATGAGAATTAAGCGGAACATGGATTCAAGAAATACAGTTCTGGCAGCCGCTCGTAGTAGTTTTGGACCAAGGAAAACAGGAGCGATGTGATGAGCCGGTTCAAGGCCGGTAGACAACCAACAACGGTCTTGCAATAGGATATAGCGGAATCTAGAAGGAATATAAAGGTGTTACTTCGCTGGGTGAACGCCGAGGAAAGGAAATTGATGCTCAACTGATTTTCAAAATCTACAGGATCGCATGTTTGAGAATTCTCAGGGTCACTAGAAAGGGAAAGCGTAAGTACTGCCCAGGAGCGTCTAATACACTCGAATTCAAAATTGCCTCGAAATTTGCGCACAGATAGAGTCGACGATGCCGATCATCACTATGCCACAGAAATTTTCTAATAATCTTCAAAACGTGAGCACTCACCCTTTAGCGAATTTTTCGCCGAAAAAATAATCTTTTAATTTTTGGCTTTTTTAGCTTAATTTTTCTGATTCGAATGGGCAATTAGTTCATTAGAGCGGGATTTGCGCTAGACGGCGTCTCACAGCTGTTTGAAACCGCTTTGCACCATTTCCCATAGGAAACCAGAGTCGGAATCGTCGATTTTCCAATTATTCCAGTTTTCGAAAGTTTTGAGTTAGAGAGCTAATTCGAAAACGAAAAATTTTCTGAAAACGCTACCAATATTTGCCTTGGCAAAAATGGGAAAAATAATCGTGGTCGAGATTTGACGATCCCAACAAAGAACAGACCTGAAAAAGTGGCAAAAATCTCCGCTTTAAATATTAGCAGCAAATTCGGAAACCGAGATGCAGATCAGCATGGTCGATTGTATCAGTGTGCCAATTTTATGCAAATTCTGAGCCGGGTGGCTTAAATTAGAGGAGACCAGGGTTGAAAAGCCGCTTCGCGACTTTTCAACCCTGGCCCCGTCTGACCCTAAAATATTCTCCACTTTGCATGATTTTCCTGGATTCCGATAAGCAAAAAATCAAAAGCGTTTTCCTCTTTCCCGTTATATAGACGATCGCCACTTCCCGGGGTATGCTAATTGATTCCTAACAAAGAGAGTCCCCAATTTTCAACAAAATTTAAATTTAATACCGAAAATAGGTGATTTTATTAAATATCATATGCGTGCAGTCATCTCCTGACCATAACGCACCTAATGTCGTATCGAACATACCCCTAAGTACCTCCCTTCTTGAGATACTACTGGAACACGGTGACGGAAGTTGCATGCAAAGTGGCACAGACACACACACAAACACTATTTTTTTATATATAGTAGGATACTGTAATCATAAATTTAGCGGAACTGCAAAAAGTCCTCCCTCCCTCCCTCCGCTTCTCACTAACGGTCCATAAAACCATAGGTTGGGAATGATTTTACTGCCGTTGAAAAGGCTCGTAAAGCACCGATGATAGATAGCGGTTTTTGTGCGTTTTTCCCTCTTGCCGGGCTTAATGTACTTTTCGAGAAAAAACGGTTTGTTTGCCTTTTCATGATGCCAAATACTGGTACGCTATCACGGTCTTACTGTAGGACCCTTACGATGATTTATGTGCCACTCACGGCCGGTTTTTGGGGTTTGAAGTAACAAAAATTTAATATGTGACTAACAAACAATCTTGCCTACCAAATTCAGACCAAGAGATCTTCCGAAACATTTTTTCCCAGGTGCGATGGCTCAAAATTTAACAATTACCATAGTTTTAACGCTATTTTTGCCAATAAAATTTGGAAGAACGGTTCAAATCCTTTAAAATAATGGATTAAATGATAAAAATGTTGGAAAATGACCAAATCCGATCGTAGAATTAGTTAAAGATCGGCTAAAAAGTTCTAGTAATTATGTAGCAGCTGGTAATCAACGTAAACACTTAAAACATAGACATCGTAAAGACACTCTAAAATATATAATAATATCTAAGAGCGTATAAGATAAATAAAAAAATTGCCTATCTTGCCAAAAAATTTACTATTCTAGGTCCAACATAAGCCGATGCTCAGCCTAACCCAATCCTAAGCCTGACCCTAAGCCTAAGCTAAGCATGTGCCAGTCTTAAACCTGATCGTAAGCCTACTCCCGAACTAAGCCTAAGTCCGCCGTAAGTCTAAGCAGAGGCCTACGCCTCAAAGACCAAGAACGAGCACGGTTTTTGCGAAAACGTCTCTTAAATTTGACATTATGTTGAGCGCGGATCGGCAAAATCGGCAAAATTGGCCCTTCCATGACCATTTTATTCACAAGGCATAACTGTGTTGTTTTTTACTTTAAAAAAATTACGCTTGATCATCAGAATTTCAAGCTCTATCGTTTTTTAGGCGTAAGCCGAGCACAAGACGAAAAGCAAATCCGTCGATTGCTCACGTTGGTGAAGCGTAGCGCGTACCTGGCGCAGGATTTTGCGCTAATTCAAAATCTGTCTTCAAAACCTGCTAATTCACCGTATTCAAAAAGTTACAGGGCTTTTGAGCCCGAAGGACGTACACAAACACGTACAAAAAAAACGCACAATTACAAGGCTCTCCACATATCGCCATCTAAGATAAAACTATCCTATACAAATATTTCCAAATATTTTCAAATACAATTCTGGTGTAAATGGAGGACCACCTTGTTTAAAAAAATTCCTTGGTCCACCTCGTTTTAAAAAATCTGGAAAAATTGTCGCTCATTCGGAAGCGCGTTCGTTTTCAAAAATGGCTGTTTAGCCGGTTACCAAGCGATTCGAATTCCGTGCAAAATTCTACACAAAATCCATTTTCAACGAAAAATGTCGACATTTTTTACACGGCCCAATCAGAGCCCGAGGACGTTACTGTCATTTATCAAAGTTCAAGCCCGGTCGCTCGGGCCAAGTCGTAAAAATGGCTGAAAAAACGAAGTGGAAACTATGACTTCATAAAAGCCACAAAATGGCGTTAGCACCGCCCAAAGCCGCACTTTTTTCGATGCCTAAATTGGAAATTTTTTTGAAGATATCGGGAGGCCCAGGTCGGCCTTTATCAGGTTGGGATCCGCTAGCCGGGCTGCTGAGATTTTTTTAATCGGTGCCACGCTGAAAAAACCATTCGAGCCTGCTCCCGAAAACGATAAACAACGCGGCCGCGTGTGCTGTATCGTGTCGGATCTGATTTTCGAACTTTCCAGCATATTCGGTAGTCGTGCATGCACTAGAAGTTCAGCCATATTATAGCTGATTGTGGCTTATATCCAGAATCGATACTCTTAGGACTAAAAAGTACTTGAAAGTTGTCATTTAAGCCAGGTAAGCTACTGCTTCTAGTAGAAAACACTCCATACAAAAACACTTACTTCTCCCCCTAAACCCGTGCGAATTTTTTTTCCTGGCCTGGCCTTTGGGGATACCGTAAGACACCTGCGATTCGAAGCCAATCGGCAGCTGAATAAAAAACGAGGCGCCATTATGATTTTCTCTTTCCCCTTCGTCCTAGTTGCCGTTGTGAGTTTTGTCGGGATCGGCCTTGGCAAGCGAACATTTTTTGTTAAAATTCTACCATACAGGATGACCAAAAACTAGCTAACGTACCCCTTCTAGCGTTCCAATTACAGTATTTTTGTTACCTCATTGCGTGCGTAATTCTCAAGATGACTGTGTCCGTATAAGGTTTTTCAAAAGACGCTCATTTCTTAGTAAATTTCAATCTTCCTAAACGTTTTGGTGATGCTCTTTGCTACGAAACAATTAGCAGCGAAATCACCAGCGCTGAAATGCTACAAAAATCGAGCGCTTGCACCCTCGAGCGTCGGGATTTTTGTCGATACAGAATATAAGCTCTTTATTTTAGCGCTTCGATTTCGAAAATCACGATTTTGGAAATTGATTTGGAAATCGCCGGGATCTAGGTCGCAAGAAATTTTTTTCTGTTGATTTTCCATTCTTCAACGCAATGAGTTCGGTTGCGAGTGCGAGCATGTAAATCGACATCGAAATAGCGCCCTTTCGCGACCAAGATTTTTTGAAATGGCGACTTTCGAAATCCTGATCTTTCGAAACGGTGTTTTCGAAATCCTGTATAGGCTAATTTAGATGGCGAGGAGGGACGTTGCTAGGGATGACAACGGAATTCCTCTAGACGAGCGTACTTTCGCCTACGTGTTTGTTATTATGCTATACATCGCATCAATGGTCATCGCGGGAGTTAGCTGCTATAGCAAGTCGTGGATCGTTGTATCCTCCAACAATAGCACAGAAAAATATCAGGTGTGCCAATTCTTTGCAGCTACGCAAAATACTATTTAGCGAGGTTTGTTGAGCGACTGCATCGTCAAAGATGACGCTCCTATTTGTCAGTCCTGGGCGACGGGCTGGACGCCGAAGCATGGAAACAATTCTGTTTTCTTGAATATGACTGCTAAAAAGCCGGACGGTGGTGATTTTTACATATGATCATTTTTCTCAAATCTATCGTACTACAGGGTGTTTAAAAAAAGAGCCCTATTTCACGCTTTCCGGGCCAATCGGCTTCAAAATTGGTTCAAAAGTTCTTCAGGGCACTTTGAAAAAAGTCGATAGCTCTTGAAATGGTGGCGTTCTAATGCTTCAAAATCATTTTTAGTCTTCTGCTGGTTCTT